TGTAGATCTTTCCATTTCTAATTTATAAATACATTTGGGGTTATAAATTATAAATGTACTGCCTCCTGTCAACATTGTATACTTCTATTTGATGATTTCTGTGTCAAACATTATATGGAAATGTTTCCAAGTATTTTCTATATTAACTATGAATGAATAGAACAAAATAAATTGCCTGTGATGGAAAAAAAAAAGATATTCAGACTCACTGGGCAGTGGAGGCGCACACCTTTAATCCCAGCACTCGGGAGGCAGAGCCAGGCAGATCTGTGAGTTCGAGGCCAGCCTGGTCTACAGAGCAAGCTCCAAGATAGGCACCAAAGCTATACAGAGTAACCCTGTCTCAAAAAAACAAACAAAAAAAATTAAAGCTGCCTTTGAAGTTGGACTGTGGCTCTCTCCTTCTCTAAACCCAAGCATGTTTGTTAAAGGAAAATGAAAAATCTCTGTATATCATGTCAGAAGAGCTACCTGATATGGGACAGAAGAAAAACCAAAATTAAGGAAATATTCTATTGCTACTAATCTCATAATCCTTTGGTTTTTACTCTTTAAAACTTTTTAAGGTATGAATTCTATATCAAAATTTAGAAGATATATACATACATACATACATATATACATTTTAAATTTCTGTCATGATATCAATGGTCATATAGAGTACTAACTAATTCCAGAAGAAAGGCTTCATCTAGCTTCCTGTACATGATTTTGAGTTTGAGTCTCTATCGGTTTTCTGCAGTGAACCATGACCATGACTAACAGCAACCTTTGAAGTCTCCAAAAGGATGATGGGGCCCTACAATGATGATTTGATCAGGATGATGATAACGCCACTAAGCTTTGGACTACAAACTGTTCAGGACAATTTTGAGATGGCTAGCTGAGATGATCCAGCCTCACAGACTGCTATAGCCAGGACTTGAGGCAAGCCCTGCACTTCCCCATTATGCAGAGACTGGACAACCAATGACACAGCTGCCTCTCCCGTGATTTGATGATTAACCCAACATTTTTCTTTTCAGGATCCCCTAAAGATGCCTTTGCCCCAAGACAGCAGGAAGTAAACTTAAGAACATGATGCCCACATTCCCAAGAGGTGGGGTGGGTAAATTTGGTTGTTCAATGTGTTATGGCTATTTGTCATTGATTAGGGTGGTTGTTATTGGTAATGGTCAGGAAAAAAGCTAAACAAAGGAGATTAGATTCAGGGTTCTTGTTTGAAAAAAGTAGATATAGCTATAAAAGGTTGATTATTGGATCTATTCTGAAAAAAATATAGAAACAATAGGATAAAAGGATAGATTATTGAATCTACTCTGAAAAGAAAAAAGGGAGAATATGGATATGATAATATAAAAAGATAGATTATTGAATCTACTTTTAAAAAGCAATTACTTGTTTTAAATATTTTACATTTATATAGATCTTTGTACATTAATACAAAGTTGAGATTAATTTTGTTAGAATGTACTCTACATACATTTTTAATTTTGTTCAAGGCATTGTTCCTATACAGCTCATTTAACAATGTAATACAATTTTCTAGTCCTTTAAAGTTATTATTACCAACTACTTAGGATATAAAGAAATTCAGGTTAGTAGTTACTCACCTATTACAATCAAACTTGTAGTCAGGATAGGTATGTTTTCAAAGTCAGAGATATATTTTAGATAGACAAGTGGTCTTCAAACATTTCAGAGATCTGTGGAATATGGCATTTAAGATGTTTTAATAACATAGATTCTTTTTTTTTTTAATGACAATGAGACATGTCTGCTCCTGACAGCACCAATCTACTTCAGGGAAGATGATTGGTATTGAAGAAAACTCCATATGGAGTTTACATTCTTTGTGGTAAGTTAGCTATTGGGCAAGAAAATGCCCTTGCCTTGACTGCTGACAGTATGCTGTCCAAATGGGACAAGCAGGACACAAAAGAAAGGACTGATGAACTTTGCCACAACAAAGTAGGAAAGCCCTTCAGAAAACCCTGCTTCACAGAAAGGTCTGTCAGATATGCTAAGCCTGTAGGCTGAAGATGGATGCCCCAACACTGCAGAGGAACCTTGGGTGACTGTCCAGGCAGCCAATTATTTCTGTCATTTCTCACATTTTTGGAAGGTTCTTGCCTGTACTTTCTGTTTACTTAGGTAATATTATTTCCTTCTTGGGTCTACGAGGGAGTTGAAGACTGGATAGTTATAGTTTTCCTTGTTAATAAATTCAGAAAAGAAACTCACTAAAGAAGTGTAAATTATATAAGTTTGAAAGACATCAAAAGAGTTTTCACTTGGTAATACAAGTTAGGATACAAAGTGAATTAGGTACAACACTTTGGACTCACCAAAATATGATAAACAACGGAGTATTTTTTCTGAATTTGTCAAATGTTTATGGACTGGACATTTTTAATGTAATTCTTGAATGTATATATTGTATATACTTATTGTATATAGTTTTTCTTATATTAGTTATAACCCTCTTTTATTATTGTAGACAAAAAAGGGGAAATGTGGTGATGTATTTGTAATCTAAAAAATCAGCTGGGTGGTGGTGGCATATGCCTTTAATCACAGCACTTGGGAGGCAGAGCCGGGCGGATCTCTGTGAGTTCAAGGTCAGCCTGGTCTACAGAGCGAAATCCAGGACAGGTACCAAAACTACAGAGAAACTCTGTCTCTAAAAACCAAAAAAAAAAAAAAAAAAAAAGCTTGCCTAAAGATCAGAGGACAAAGTGAGCCATAGAGTTAGCCAGAGATCAGGTAGTGGTGGCACACAAATTTAATCTTAGCACTCCGGGTGCAGAGGCAGAGATACATGTGGATTTCTGTGACTTAGAGGCCACAATGGGATTAATCCAGTCTAAAAGAGAAACAGCCAGGCAGTGGTGGCACATACCTTTAATCCCAGCACTAGGAAGGTTGAGACAGGAAGTGAGATGTCTGGGCAGAGAAAGGAATATAAGGTGGGAGGAGACAGGAATTCCAGCTCTTGCAGAGGCCCTGTCAGGCTGAGGACTTAGTAAGGTAAGAGGCTATGGCTTGCTCCGCTTCTCTGATCTTTCAGCTTCCTCCACTCTGGCTCCGGGTTTTATTATAAGACCATTTAGGATTCGGGCAACAGAAGCTGTTGATTCCCAAAACCCACAGAGGCCAAATACTCACACACACATAGGAAAGCTAAGCATGAGGCAGAGTGTGCAAGCCAGTAAGCAGAACTCCTTCAAGGGCTGTCTCTGCTCCTGCTTGACTACTTCCTTCCCGGAATTCCCTTAGTGATAGGTTAAGACCCGAAAGTGTAAGCCAAATAAACACCTTCCTCCCCAAGTTGCTCTTGGTCATGGTGTTTATTCCAGGAGCAGAAAGTAAACTCGGTCAGTTCTTCTCAAGCATGCTCTCGTTTCCTGTGCTCTTACGATGGACACTATCTTTCTCCTCTGGGTTTAGGATTCCTTTTAAGTATCTTCTGCAGTGCTGACTTAATATTAATTAATTGCTTTAATTTGTATGACACTTAAAATGTCTATTTCTCCACTAAATATAAAGACAACTTTGCAGGACACAGCAACTTTGGTTGGCAGTTATTTTCATGACTTGAAATTTACCATTCCATGCTTTCCTGGCTTTCATAGTCTTGAATGAGAAGTCTGATGTTATTCTGATGTGCTTGCCTTTGTGAGTTGGCATTTTTCTTTTGTATCTTTTAATAGTGCTTGTTTCCTAGTTTGGGTATCTTGACTACTATGTGTCATGAACAGGTTCTCCTCTGGCCACGTCTATTGGAGTTTTAAATACTTCTTGTGCTTGGATATCCACTTCTTTTCTTATATTTGGGAAATTTTCTACTAAAATTTCAGTGACTAGGTTTTCATTTTGTGAAGACCATACTCATGGTGTCCTTTATTCCCTCCACCAGTAAGATACATTGATTCCAATCACATCTTAGAACAGTGGGGTACATTTATTTCAACTAGTATTCAATTCTCCTTAAGATTTATTTGACCTAAAGTCACTTTATGTAGGAGCCCAGACTCAAACAACCCTCTGCCTCAGCCTCTCAGGAATTAAAGGTATGCAACAGTATAGCTTCAGGTTTGGTTTCTTGACTGTATCCCAAGTTCTGTAAGCTGTGGTTATGCATATGTATTTTTTGTTCCTTATTGTTATCTAACTATAGTATTCTTTTGGCCTTGCCTTCCATCCCGATAAGTCCTTCTTATCACTGGTCTATTACTTGGTGGTACTTTCCACTATTTTTATTTGATTTGTCCATTTTTTCACTCCTGATATTTATGTTTTTCATCCAAAACACGCCTTGCTGAGTTTTGCATCCACGTCGATAACTTTGTTCATCCTGAATTATTTTCTTACTTTGTTTACTTGTGTTCTCTTTGAAGCCATTAATTTTACAAGTAAACTTAATTCTTTTTTTTAAAAAAAATCCTTTTTTTTTTAAAGATTTATTTATTTATTATGTATACAGCATATATCACTGCAGGCCAGAAGAGGGCGTCATATCTCATTACAGATGGTTGTGAGCCACCATGTGGTTGCTGGGAATTGAACTCAGGACCTCTGGAAGAGCAGTCAGTGCTCTTAACCTCTGAGCCATCCTCCAGCCCCAAAAGTAAATTTTGATACTATATTGTATGTGCATTATT